AAGGCTTGTTTCTCCGTTTGCGTCGACTTGGTAGCGGTTCGGCGATGCGCCCAAACCCAGAAATGAAGTTGTAGCAGTACGATGCGGGTTCGAAGAGCTTTTGAATGTACGCGAAAGAGTACGGGGAGAGCGGCGAACGGAATCCATCTCTACAGTATCTGGCGAATCTCCTGCTGCGTCGGCAAGAAAAGCTAAGAATCCAATTGCTTACATTGAAAAGAGCTTAAGAGCTGTCTTACGTAAGAGTTAGAGCGCATGTCGCCGGTTTTGAGAATGCTCCTGCACATTGCGCCTCAACACAAATGCGCCGCCCATGTGCATACCCTTCTGCCCCGCACTGATTGGGCCAAAAAAAAGAAGTTAACCTCTGGGTGTCTTTTTGCAGGCGTATTTGCCAAGCACAAAGGGCATACAGTCGCAAAGGACAGTTTGCGAATGCGGGTATGGGATGCACAATTGTGTTCCTGTCGTGAGGATGTACTGGGAAATGCAAATCGCGACAGTAAAACCAAATGATGAATGAATTGCTAAACACTGCAAGCTGTAAAGTAGCTCGTTTTCCCGAGGCGTTGGTAACTTTTGCTTCGCCGTGGTTTTGTTGGAGGGACTGAAGTCACCGCACACATGCCACTTCCTGTCATTCGTCGCGTGTAGAGGGCAATGTCTAGAAGCACTAGTTGACAGTCAGACTTTGTCTTTTCTCGGTCATTTGGATCGATCTCCTCTTCAATGTGCTGGGCTAGCCTGAACCTAGGAACAAAGGTTGGGGCTGCGCCGGTAGTGAGTTTAGTGTGGTGCACTGGGCGTCCAGCGGGTGGCCTGCAAGCTGGAAACCCTTCCATACTGAGTACATCTGAGGTTTGTACCTTAAACTGAGACCAGTTCTGTTCTTTAGGCGTTACCTGGGTTGACTGCGGCAAAACTGTGATCTTCGTTGCGGAGTGCATTCGTTTCAGCTCCTTCCACGTCAGTGCACTGCACTTGAGCTCCATCTGTCCTCTCTTCTTGGCATACTGACTTTACTCGTCCTACTGTTGAGGGTGCAAACGCTGGCAGGATTGCTGTGCGGTGCTCGCTGTCCTCGATGCTCCGCAAATAGACCTTAGCAGTCTCTTCTGGATGCCTACCTGCACTAACTCTACCACGATTTGCCCAGGATTATGTCGTGGTGAAATGCTCTAACAGAAACGTCCGGTACCATGCAAATTTGACTGATTTATGGATCCCGCATCTCACTTCTACAGCTTTGCCAATCCTAGTGTTCTTTTGGCCATAGGACAGACGCATTCATAGGGAATGCGCCAACAGCAGGTAGGCTGCACTTCCTCGTCGTACCTTCAGATATCTGACCCATTGCGCAGCCTGCGCCAAATATAGCTAGCAGTTCCTGAGAACTAATACGAAGCTGAAGAAGCTCAGATTTCCCATACCCTTCGAAGCTTTCCTGCAGGTGCAACTGGCATCAGTTTCGGCCCCATCATCCCCCCACATCTTGCGTGGTGGCCAGAGCAATTCCTTAAGTTCTGTTTAATCCCCTGGCGGTGTCGCTCAAAGCCATGCTTCCCCAGTTACCTGACGTTCTTCTTGCTTCTGAAATATTAAGTAATGTGACTCTGCTTGTTGCGGAACAATCAGACGGGCCGCTCAGAAGGCCACCCGGCTGGCGTTTTGTCGGCTCCTGCCGCTGCCCTCCGCTCTCGCAGCTTGGTCATCTCCAAAATCGCTTCGTTCCTTCTCCGCTAAGCCGTCGGGTGTGGCATTTTCTATTGTCATTGATGCGTAAGCACCCACTCATCTTGATGCATTCCACCTTTTCGTCTTTTGGTTCCCTCTCCACGCCCAGGCCGGCTGCCGTTTGCCTCTCTTCAGCAGATAGCCTTGTTCTGAACCACTGGAATAGACGCTTCGAATCTACCGCTGGACTTCTGTTCACTAATAGTTGATATTTCTCGTTGGATTGCTCTATCTATACCTTCCCCTGCTTAATTTTACGGCGGTTGCCATATTCCTTCTCCTTGCTGATCCGGTGATAAGCCTGCATCGCAGCATCGGAAACCTTCCAGTCGGAACGCACTCCAAAGAAGTGGCACCTTTGACTAGATATACCCACCGTCGTCCTGCTTCCCCTTCCAATATCGAAGGCATTAATTGAAAATGCACCTCTTCGGGTGTATTTTGAAGACGAAACTCCACTGTCCGACAAGCAAAGAATTCCTCTACTGCCCCCACATCTCGAATGCAATCATAGCTCAACAGACGGCACAAAGGAAGGCATTTTCCGTAAATCGGTTCTTCTGTACGGAAAGTATTTAACGTGTCTTCGCTACAGATAATAGCTATTCACCTGGCCTCCCTGGTGTGCAGGTGAGATTCGTTGCCAGATGAAAAGTGAGATGCTCCCACGCGTGGGGAAGTCCCCCGATCTGAGCTCAAGAGAGTCGCTAGCTGTAAGAGTGTCAAATAGTTCGACTCTACGACTCAACAAAATAGTCCCCGGAAAACTACCTGACCTCCCTTCCATATCCCAGACGTCTTGGGCATGGAGACGCAAGGGCCGGGGGTGGGCGCAAAGAGGTGGCCCATCGTGAGTTGCAGCGGGCCTTACCGCAAGTAATGGTGCAACTCAATCCCACAGGCGAACACTGTCTAGCCATCTTTTGCTACACTGACTAACACTTCAGACAGTTGTTAAGCGCTTATTTTGCCCTGCAGAGCCAGTAAGCAAGAAAGTGCAGAAACAACTACCAACTTTCTCCGACTTGCCCTTATGTATGCACCTACCAACTTCTCATAGTATATTCTAGATCTGTAAATTCCAGTTCATCTGGGATGCCCCTCGGATTGCCACGGGTCTCCAGGGTCGGCGAGCGTTCTCGAGCTATCTCAGAAGATCGGCGCTTTCTTTTGCGTCGACGCAGCCACCGCCCAGCTGACCTAGGATTCCTTGCTGGCCTTTACGGGCTTAGGGCGCATCGAAGTGCCGCTGAACGCCGTGGAGGCGCACCTACCCCGAAAGGGGTTTCGCTGCCATCCTTGGAACCTCACGGATGGCAAAGTTTGAGCCTGCAACTCTAGCAAAAAAATTACGCAGGTTGGGGACTATACTCGAAGAGATCAGGAGTTTTCTATATTGAGGGGAAGCGATTCCCGTGATCTTCGTAACCATAGCATAAGTTATATTCACAAGAGGAATGTGCTCCTGTTCTCGTGTAGCCGCCATTGCCTTAACAGCAAGAAATGCACCTGTTTTGCTTAGAGGCCCCTCCTCCACGACTTCGGTCAAGGCAGCTTCCCACTCCGGGGCAGTTGACGGTACCCTTGATCTAAGCGCAACCGCCTCGTAAAGAGCCGCATGTCGAACGGGACGGTCGGTTCTCGATAGCAGGGAGGATGGGACTTCCCTTTGCTCCCATTGTTCTTGTGCATTCAGCGAGTGACCAGCATATTACGCTTGGGCTGGCTGGAAAGGCCATTTTCTTCCGTTGCCTGGGCATTGCATGGGAGCGATCTTTCCATACTAAGGTCCATGGGGGGAAGTTCAAGGGCTTATTGCCACTGGTTGGCTGCCCGTATACCATCCTTTCGGGCAAACTCCCATCACTCTCCTTTCTGCCTACTTCACTGCTTGTCATTCCCTATATTCCCCCACATTCCGTCTCCACCTGTCATTATTTCTCACCCATGATACTACCATGCATGCTTTCTTAACCGCGGTGATTACGAGACCTCATCTCTCCACACAGACCTCAATGTTTTCAGTTCCTGGACCTATTCATTCGAAGGGCCAACCACTTGAAGGCCCGCGCCCATTCAATGAAATCGTCCCAGTTCAGATTTCTAGAGGCTTCGAAAAGTTCGCAAAAATTTGCTGCCGCAGGCAAAAATGGTTCGAAGAATTGTATGTGCTGCGCTAAACTATTCGCGTCTTGCTTAATGGGTGGATTTCCAAATTCTTCCACACGAGTCTCCCACTGGCGGCTGCACTTCTCCGCGCATGTATACCTACATTAGTCATCACCATGAATGCCCCCAGAACCGGTACACTCATACAAAGAATCTGTAGTCTTAGCTGTCTTTACTTTGATGTCACAGTCCTCCACGGTCCTCCACGATATCAATTCCTTCGAATACGTGTCAAACCCAAAGACATCGCTCATATATTGAACTATTCGGGAGTCTGAGAGCCTCCCGCTATTAGTGATTCGTAAACCTCAAAAATACCGCCGGGTTGTTGATGAACCCCCGTGCCATCCCCGCATATCTGAACCACCGATGCCCAATTTGGATCCCCAAATATTTTCTGGAACATTCCGGATTCACAGATCAAATGGCCAAATATACTCACACTATTGAGGCACTAGAAACTTGTTAAACTATCGGAAGACGCCCACTACACGTCTTTGATGCGGTGCGTGCAGTTTAGGCACTCGAATCGCTACTTGCCCCACCCTGTTACACCAAGAGAAGGCAAGGAAGCAAAAGGCTCCATTAACTCTGTTGGGGCTCCATGAGACGGCCGCCTACACTGGAAAGTTCTTTTTTTGTGGGTTTTCTCTACTAACTTTCGAACCACCCCGGCGAGTTGAGGTGGCGACTCAAACACACACGTACTCGAGCTTTCAGAGCGCCTTGTGTAGAAGCGAAGGGGAAAGGTCACTACAGGAACGATTGAAGTGCAAACGACTAGCCCCATTAAGAATATGTACTCAAGCGGGGTGGAGATGGGACTAGATCCTTCACCATACGGGGCTCGTTGCCGTGCCATATGTACGCAGTGTACGCAATTTGTTTCTTCAGCCCCAGCCACCGTTACCACTCCTTTTAGCACAAATATCCGGTCACCCCATACAAATAGAGACGATTAGGCTTAACTACTTGTAAATTCACCAATTTGCAGTACTTCCTGACTTACAATCCCGATTTCGAGGAACAGAACAGTGCCGGGCGGCAGTGCCAGCAGCTGTGGCCTTCCTGAGCCGGCCCTCTGCTTCCAGCAGCTTATGATGCAGCATCTGCTTGCTGAGAGCGCATCAAGGGAGACGGCTTTGAATGCTGCTCAGGCAACGCCTACGGCAGCTTCGCATGCCCCTGCAATTCCGGGCGTGGTAGTGGTCGCGTTTGCGGGGGACCGTGAGTCTCAGAACCACCGGGAATCCGCAAACTCTAGACACCGACTTGATGTTAGATATAGGCAGCAACAGGCGCAGCAGGACCAGGACCAGATTTCTCAGCGGGAGCAGCACTACATGGACCAACTGCCACCGCAAACATCAAGTCCACTGGTCTTAAAGGGAAGCGTTCGGTACTCCTTTGCCACACGAACTGTTGAGGGCTGCCAGTCGCAGAGCCTGAGCAACGGACCGGTGCATCCAGACAACTTCAACAGCACTGCTGCCGCCCGCAGCAAGCTAAGCAGTTGTAGTGGCGGCAGCAGCTTAAGCAGGGATAGCAAGGGTAACCGCGCCACAGCTGCCTCCTTTTCTTTGGGGGAAGGTTCAGCTCCATCTTGCAACGGCGTCTCTGACAGCGCTTGCCGGAAGTTATGTGGCATAGAGATAGGCAGCAGTGGCAGTAGCAGCAGCGGGAGCAGCGACGGCAGTAGCGGGAGCACCATCAACTGTAGCAGCAAGACCAGAAGGGGCAACAGCAGAAGTTCCAGTGATGGCCACTACAAGATTCCACCTTCCTCATCGGGCTCAGCAGCCAACACGCCCTCTTTGGTGTTCACAAAGGAGCCCTTCGACGGTGCTAGCAGAAGCGTCAGTCCCCGAGACATTACCTTCGGCAGTAACACCAGCAACGGCAAGAGCAGCAGCAACAGGAGCTGCCGGGACAACAGCAGCAGCGTTAGTGGCGATTCTGAGAAGAAGCAACACATTTCACTACTTTCTGCATCCGACATTGCAGTGCTGCTACGCGACTACGCCGCTTTTGTCCAGCGAACACAGCGGCAGCTGCAACAGCTGCAGAAGCTTGTGCAGCAACAGCAATGCCTAGGGTCTACGCGGGTCGGTTTATGCGAGCAAACTTCGACTGGAAAAAGCCCTTATGTGCGGCAGCAGTGTCAGGGGGAACAACAGCACCAGCAACAGCAGCTCGACGAGGCAAGAGTTTTGCGGCGGTTTATTGCTGAAGGAGCTGTTGTTTGCCGCTCCTTACACTCTCGCCTATGTTTGTTGCTTGCGGACGCACCTTCAACCGCGGTTGCTGCTGCAGGCGGCGAGTTGATGCTGCGCAAGCTGCGCCGCGACTTTGCGCAGCAGCAGCAACAATACGCACAGATGCTGAGGCTGCTGAGTTCTGCAGAAGAGGTACTTTGTGAGCCAGCCGAATCGGCGGACCAACATGAGGTAGAAGCAACACTTACCAGCACCAGCAACACAAGCAGCAGCAGTTTTGGAGGTAATCTCCCGGGACCATCTTCTGCCGGTGGGCCTGCTCGCATTGTTTGGCACAGCGGACACCAGGGCTCTCCATGCAGTTTGCCAGTGGACTGCCTCCATTTCGAGGATCCTCAGCGACAGAGACAGACCAAAAGCATCTCGTGGGTCTCCGAGGGGAACCATTTGGGTACTGCTTCATGTGGAGCTGTGGATAGCTGCCTGCAGCACGCAGAGAGGAGCCTGTGGCCGCACGGCTCTACAGGTGCCCTCCCTCCCCTTCTCATTGGCCCTAGTGACGCGCGAAGAAGCGCTGCAGATGATTCTCCACAGGATGACTTGTGGGAACCAGCGGCCTTGATAGAAGTTCACGAGGACTATGAGAAGCAGCAAATCATCAGTGAAAGGAAGCAGCAGCTGCAGCAGCTGCAGCAGGTAGAACATTGCGTTACTGTACTGCGGGAGCTGCAGTTGCACGTTGCATCAGACGTAGACAAAGGCAGTCAGCGGCTGAATGCAGTAGAAGAAGAGACGGAAGCCGCAGCAGACCATACTGCGGCAGGGGTGGGAGAGCTCGCTGCCGCAGCACGCAGCAAAACACGTTGGTGGGGGGTCCAAGGAGGCGGTGCTGCAGCTCTAGTTGGTGTTAGCGTCGGTGCGGTGGCAGGAGGTCCCATTGGGGCGGCTGTAGGGGCCATCGTGGGTGCTGTTGCTGGACTATCTTCAGGCGCCGCGTTGCGGGGAAGACACCGAGAAAGGGTGAATGCTGCTGAAAGATCTGTGAGGCGCAGGAGGGCCCAGCGTCTGAAACGCTCTTCAGTCACTTTAGCAACGGGGGCTATGAACACCACCCAGAGTACTGCAGGTCGGGTCGCTGCTCCAAGGTCTCCTAACCAGACATCGGGGGCCCGTACGCAAGCAGGCGCAATTAGTTGTATGCCCCCTTTGTGGAACTTTGGGAGGGATTTTCGCAGTAGCAGCGGAGCAGGACCCTGCGATGCACCAGCTACTACGGAGGGACGATACCCAAGGCCGCCTCCAAAGGCAGCTGAATCACGAGGAGGCACTACAGCGCCCAGGTGCGTACCTTGGGTGGGAGGGCCTGCCCATTACGAAGGCGCTGGAGCTGAAGCAAAGGGAGTGCTGCAGGTAGGTCAATCAAACCGTGCTGCAGGGAGGCGCAGGCAAAGGAACCACGCTGGCCCTCGTCTCGTTGCAGTGCAAACGACACTTGGCGCAACTGGCGTACTGCCTGTTTTTCAGTTCTTCCCTGGATAAGTGGTGTTGCAGCATTGTGTGCAATATGAGGATCAGCAACAGTAGCCTCAACAGCTCCCGCCGCAGCTTCAAACGCACCCGCGATACAAACGTAAGTGGGGTGCATTTGGCAAGCACCCTCGGCTGTCGTTGACTACGTTGTTAACTGTACGCAACTCCAACTTCCGCTGCATAAATGCTATATTTATGGAGTTTGGCTGAAGAAGCATGCCTCTGTAGGAGGCCTTTGCATTGATTGAGTCATACTGACGTCTGTTTTTAAGTAGGAGCTCTTCAGTTCCTTTAGCACATGGGGCAAGCAAGCTGCCATGGGCGCGTTCACCTGTACGGGAGCCCCCCACGCCGTCCTTCTTTGAGCTGTTTTTGGTCTACCGGCAGGTTAGTGGGCTGATGTGATGTGGCAAGCCCCTGCTGGTTGTGGAAGCAGCAGGCTGTCATTTTTCCACTACTCCGAACCCGCATACTGATCAGAGGCACGCAGCATATGGCCGTGTATTGTTACATTGCGCCGAATCATTCAGTATGGGCGATCAGTCAATTCGCACATCCCCTGGAGGTACCTTCGAGCGCAGGGCACGACGCGGGCAGAGTCATGTATTGTGAGAAGGCATATTGAAGACTTGCGGAGCAAACTTCACTATGCCTAGCGGACACCCGGCTCGCACCTTTGCATTCGTCCTGTTCAACTACTAGGCTGCGATCCGGGGACACAGAGAGAGTTAATTGTGATCCGAGCTAGCTATTGCCTGATGAAGCGGTTTGCTGTGGGCAAAATCTCTGCTGTCGAAACCTCGCAGTACTAATAGTAATAGTAATCAAGCTGCGAGGTTTCGACAGCAATTACCCGAAGTGCTCCACATCGCCTACTGCAGGCGTCTAGTTGTCATGAGGATACTTTCCTTCCAGTCGCATGCGCGCTGCCGTGTGATTTAGGTTTAGTGCTTACCGTTCAAGCTTCCGTAACCTTACAAGGCCATTTACTATTCCCAAATGGCCTAGTAGGGG